ACGCGTGTCGGCCACCGTAAACAATGGTGAAAGGTAAGGGGACGGGCCAGATGAATCCTTCACCCCCTTTCACACCCGCGAGGAAGATTTGTTCCTTTCGAACCACACGAGGCCTCCAGCAGCATTTTGTCACGTGCCGACTGTTAACTACATAATTTACGCGTGGCCTTTTCAACCGTCTCAATCGTATTCAGACAACGATCCCGATCGTGAGACCAAGCCCCGATTCCACCGAAATGTGATCCTCGATTACGAAACCTGAATCGATCCGTAGATTATTCGAAAACGGTAAATAACAATTCGTTCCAGAAACAACCAGAGATTCCCGAATCGACAAACACGTTCTCGAAGGGGAGGTTTGATTCGCGTCCAGAAGCCGTGGGCGAGTAACGTCATTAGAAAACTTGCAACTTCCTCGACGAACACACCGTCCTTGGACGGACGAACCGATGTTTCTGTCGAGGGAGGCGAAATCACGCGCCGACGTAACGGCTCTTCCGTCAGTGTCGAATGCCGGAATTATTCGCGTGTTCGTCGTCCGTGTCTTCAAAACACCAGCCGTCGGTGAACGTAAAAATAATCACGCGTCGATATCGCTGTCTCTCTTAGATCTGACCACTCTCTAAATACCGTGTATCAACGAGGCTTTAGACTCGGACACTCGTAGACGTATCAGTTCGGGCAGCCATTAATCTCGAACCGACTGAGATGGATAAATGTTGATGTACCATGGCGTGATCAGGCCGAGCCGAAACGGTGAATATATCAACGACTTTCGGAGTGGACAGGGTACATTTTCGAATAGTCGGACGTCTGGCGAGAAAAGATAAAAAGACTGAAATATCACCCGCAATTAGACGTCGTTCCCCGGTCGGAGGCATTGAAAGAGCGGACGGTGGGCAAAAGGAACCGTGACGGCGCAGACGCCTCACTTATGACGCATTGGGACCTTTATGAGCACCATTAACCACGTTCGCGAATGTTTCTTCTTGTTCATTCAATTTATGACTAAATGTATGTACAAACTCTTCGGGTATCTTCAACTGTCCTGTTTTATACAAGTTGAGATGCAATGATAGTCTGCTTTGCTTATATTCTCGGGTAGAGAAAAGTGGAACACTGTGAGAGGTTGAGACTTCTTTTATGGGAACATTAGAAATGTAAAAATGTCAAGACTCGAATGAGCAATGAAAAGCTATCTGGATCCCCGAGAAGTAAGATTAATTCGTTCAGTGAGTGGCAGCTCTCTCTTTAATTTTCTTCGTATATTTTATGCTTATCGAATTAAGTTCAGCAATTGTGAAACTGTTCGTAAGAAAAAATGAAGAAAAAGCAAGTCGTCTGGGTAGTGAATTAGGGTATTTTTTTTACGGACATTGCTCAGGCGTTCCACTTTTCCTTCGCTGCACACTGTACAGTAGTCGATTCTACAGGCACTGTAATTGTTGCAATTTTCCACGTAGTCTTAATAACACGGTAATTGATTACTACACGCGAGAAAATGGAACGTTCGCAAAGAAAACAACCGTGCTTCGGACAAACAGATCGTTGTGTTTCGTACACGGTAATTAGAGTTTCGTACTTGGCAGCGTGGAGTCGCAGAAACGTGTCCCCTAAAGACTATTATTTTCATTTCGACTGCTAATGACCGACTGGGTACAAAACGAAGACCACCACGATACGTCATCCTTAAGACATACTAATATCTGGTAATTAAGTCCATACAGCCTCGAGCTCGATGCACGACCAACGATCTATACGAAATAATAATTACATAACCACGTAAACTCTGACGGACGCAACGATCTTGGGATTCTCCTCTCGATAACACGACCACAGCGTGCGTCGGGTGCCATTATTATTAGAAATGTAAATATTAAAGTACGAGCATCATCGTTATTTATAGGTGTTGCACGATATATTCCGTATCTATAAATTCGTATCGCAATCCGATGAGGATCGTATGTACCCTCGGCTTCCATTAGGGGAAAAAGTGACGTAAGAAAACGGCCTCCTACCAGTTGACATACTTGATAATAATTGTTACAACAAAAAAGTTCTAGTATATATAGTTAAGAAATAAATGTTAAATCGAATGTTATTTTCGCATAAATTTCAATAATTCCCGATACCAAGTGGCAAGAGGCCCTTCTACGTCACTTTTTCTCCTAACGGAAGCCAAGTTACACGTCAGTGTACCCTTACGAGCGAACTCGGCTTCCGCTAAGGAAAAAAGTAGTGCGGAATAAGGGCCTTCGAACATTTTACCTCAAGAATTATTAAAATTTATGTAAAATTAACATTCAATTTAACATTTATTTCAATACTTGAAATAAATTTATCAAGTGGTAGGAGGCCTTTCTCTTACGCCACTTTTTCCCCTAACGGAAGCCAAGTTTGCACGTCAGTGTACACCCACGAGTAAACTCTGCTTCCCCTAGAGGATAATGTTACGTAGAAGAACGGCCTCCTACCATTGGGAGTCGGGAATTACTGAAATCTATGACAAATTAACATTCGGTTTAATAGTTATTTCGGTACTTGAAATAAATATATCAAGTAGTAGAAGACCCTTCCACGCCACTATTTCCCCTAACGGAAGCCAAATTTCCATGTCAGTGTACCTACGCGTCTAGATTCAACGTTTTCACAAAAAATGGTCCAAGCTTCATATCGCGTTCAGCGAAACAACAATCCAACCCGTCTTCCCATCGAAACAACGGAAAAACAGAACGAACAACGACAAACAGAAATCAGGAAGTGTTTTGAATGAAACGACGGGTGTGCATTTAAGCGACGCAGACTGGAGACGACGGTCGCTGGTTTACAGCCAGGCCGATCTCAGACGTGTTCTCCGTCGTCACACACGCGGCCGGTGTTGCACGTCCTCCGGTCGCGGTGAAATGCAATCCTGGACGATCGCCAAAATTCAAAAATAATCCCGAATTTCGACGGATTCACGACGGATCATCCTTCGAGGCAGGTCTCTAGCCAATACTCTCTCACGGATAGCGTGAACCGGTGGTGAGTCTCGCGTCCGATTTCCAACCGATGTTACCGATGTTACCACATAGAGATTAGCAAGAAAAAAACCCACCGTCGGGAAATCTAATATTCGCCGCGGGATTCCGCGAATCATCACTATTTCCGTGCTGGCAAGCGACAGCCACGTGTGTCTGTCTGTTACATCCCCACCCCTTCAGCCTACCCACTTTCTGGCCCCTCTAGTCGTGGTATAAAGTATACAACCACCCACAATAAACGATACGACCTGAGCAAGAAAGAGAGAGATAGGTTCCTCTATATAAAAATTGCGGGTGAACGTCATTCCGTCGTGTGTGATTCACGAAATTGAATTCGGGAACCGAGGGTCGAAGACGGAGAGAAAGAGAGAGAGAGAGGAGGGCGTAAAACTTTTTAATCCCGTGTTGACGCAACCGTTCTAACGGGTCCGCGATGACGACACGACGTCTCCGTTCGTACGTTTAGTTTCGCCGTGGTGTCAGTATTTTTAAATCGTGCCGCCTTTTATCCAGAGCGCGAATCTTCCGCGATCGCCGACCTATAAATCACTCCCGGTCGCTTCGCGGTGATACGGAACGACGGGACCTACTCTCTCGGTGAGAGTCCTCCCCCCCTCTCGAGTGAGACAGAGAGAGAGAGAGAGGAGCTAGGTGGGAGAGAAACCGCGGTGAAAAGGGATGGAGGGGTCAAGAGAAAGAGAAGAGGGGGCAAGAGAAGGATAGACAGCCTTTTGAGACCCCTCGGTGACCAGTTTAGTTCTGCTTGGCATTCGAACCGCACCAGAGATCATGTATCTCGAGTGAGACAGAGAGAGAGAGAGGAGCTAGGTGGGAGAGAAACCGCGTTGAAAAGGGATGGAGGGGTCAAGAGAAAGAGAAGAGGGGGCAAGAGAAGGATAGACAGCGTTTTGAGACCCCTCGGTGACCAGTTTAGTTCTGCTTGGCATTCGAACCGCACCAGAGATCATGTGACACGAAGACACCCAAGGATCCTAGCACCTCTCGATCCAGGATCTCCTCAGACACGCACACGTATATCGAATCGAAACGGGAGGAGGTGGTCGTGTTCAGAGAAGGGACATCGATGTGAACACCTTTGTGATTCTACACACGGGTTCATCATCCTCCAGGTGTCTTGATCAATTGTGTACAGAGAATTCTTAAGAATCTTCCGTTTCTTCTTTCTTAACGAGACCAATTTTCGTCGCGAATTTAGGAAAAACTAGTAGGAAGTGTGTTTACGGATATAATATACCTTAAAAGGTAGTGAGCAAGATATCAAGAGGGGCTTCGTTCCAGCCTTCAAGAGATCCCCAGATCGAGGATGACCAGCTGCTCCGATGCCGTAGAACTCTACTCGAGACGCGACACGGCACCAAACACGTGCGCTCCGTTTTAAATCAACACAGACCACCGCCGCCGCCGCTTACGTGGAAACCGGCCGTGTACATTTACGAGGAGAGAAGAAACAAGGAAAGCGGTGCTCCCCCAGGCCGTGTGTACGCATACGGTGTGTGTACACTCGCGCGCACGGGTGTCTCTCTGGCCTCTTGTTAAATGACACTCGCGTGAAATCCTCCACGCACACATTCTCGCGTTTGCTCGTGGTAAAGAAGAGGAGGTGGAGAAGGAAGGAGGAGAAGGAGGGTCGTTGACAGCGTGTCGAGGAACGACGATAAACGCAGCACACCGTCAGCTCGAGGAAGAAGTGCTACCGGTGCCGGACAATTGGTCCCTAAGTGGTGGCGATTTCTGTGTAGTTCGACGATTTTACGGGAACTCGAAGTTCTGTGCCACGAGGTTCGATTTCACGTGTCGATCGTGTCACGCGCTCGTCCACGGATCTCTAAACGCAGTGGAAAGGTCGCGGGTAGCAGATATGAGGTCGACCGGTCGGAATACGATCTAAGAATATACACCCGCGAGTGGATCGTTGAACCGCGGGGAGGGAACGGGGGGGGGGAGGGAGGGCTTCCTTTCTTTCCACGTGTCCCGGGGGAAATAAATCAGGAAACTTTCTCTGGTCCGAGGTCTCCACACTCCGTCTCAGTGATCTCGGAACGATGTCGGGGGACAGCACGTCCGACGAGGAGGGATCGCAGGAGGATTCGCCGCGATACGACATCGACGATCTGGAAATAATCAAGACCATAGGTGAGCAAGCTACCGGGGGGGTGTAGGGACGGTTGTGTAGTGGAAAGTAGTGTAACTTGAATCTCGATCGGACCTTTAATGAACCGGTGAAGCTTTCTCTATTTGTCTCGTGATCTGGTATGTGTGTATTGTGACGTGTCGAACAGAACACGGGGTATATTCACTGGTTCTAGGATTAACGTTAGTTACTCTTGATTCAGGGGAAATTGCGAGGCGTTCCTGTGAAAGGATTGATCATACGCTGGATTTAATTAAAGAATGAAATCGTAAACGACGTTTCTCCCGCGGTTACGAATTTCTCGGGAACTTTCTCATAGACAGAGACGTGTAAATTGATTATTATTTTTGTTTCTTAAACCATTAACGCCAAGCGGTGCACCGGCGCGGCACTCGTTTTAAATGAACGTCAAATTATGTTGATGTCCAACTTTTGTCAGCAAGGATCCGTGGTTTTATCGATGTAAAGTAGATCTTCACGGTGTCAGTTGAGAAATTCAGATATTCCCTCTAGAAATAGATAGGAAATGAAACAAATTACGGCTATTTAACATCGATATTTTTGACTTTAATATGACAAGATACAATAAATATATCAGTCTCGTAATTTTTAAATAATGATTTAAAAGTCTGGGCGTTAAAGGGTTAAAGACACAGTTATATACTGCCATGAAGTTTAGTCGAGTGACAACAGGTCAGGGGAATTAACGACTCCCGTGGTTATCAATTTCGTTGATTTACAGACGACCACACCGTGTGTTATGCCTCGTTTGAGCACTAATTTGTCAAAAGGTGAACGGTGCACAGAGTTGTAATATGTTAATCCAGTCGAAATTGAATACTTCCCGCCAGCGGTTCTACGTGTGTGTTTCTCTCGTTGGTGAAAAATGTCAGAGACGAACCGAGGCGAACCACCCTCGAACCGAGGAAGTGGGCCACTGGAGAGTGAGAGGCCACCGTGTGTATATTTAACTGCTCGTTAAGTCAGAGTTACACGAGACTCACGATCAGTAAACTGCAGGTGTTCCGTTGGGTGGTTTTTCAAACATTCCGACGTCTCTTGCGAAATAATTATTTATACGACCGATAACCAAAGGGGGAAGGAGGGGGGCGATCGCAGAATGCAAACTTATTAACGATACAACCATGGGTTCAAATCGATCATTAAAAAAACACAAAAAAAATTCAACAGAACCAGGAACCACGACGGAGAATCCCGAAAGAAGTTTTTAATTGGTTTTCACGAGATTTTCAATGGTGGGTTCAAATCAATCATTGAAAAAAAAAAACAGAAAACATTCGAAAGAATCAGGAACCACGACAGAGAATCCCGAAAGAAGTTTTTAATTGGTTTTCACGAGAATTTCAATGGTGAGTTCAAATCGATCATTGAAAAAAAAAAACAGAAAAAATTCGAAAGAATCAAGAACCACGACAGAGAATCCCGAAGTTATTAATGAGTTTTTACGAGATTTTCAAAAAGGGGAGGGCGTCCAAACATCCGTGTGATATCGAACACGAGCCAGGCTTCTCCGTTTTATTGCCGAATAATGGCCCATATTACCGCGCGGAGAATAAACAAATCGCCCGAAACGTTAATCCTTTATCGCCACCCGTTCGCACACGAGCGTGCTTCGATTTAAATCCGACCGTAAAACAGCACGCGAGCAGAAGATCGATCAGCACAGATGCGCGGCGCGGCCACTTCGTGACGTGAAACAAAGTTTTTGGATGAACACCAAAATCCTCCTCGGGTGTTCGTACGGCGAAGAAAAAAAAACATAACGGCGACGGATCAACCGAGGGACCGTCTGGCGCGAGGAAATTCGAGCGAAGAAACCCTCCCCTCGAGGAGATGAATGAACGGGGTTTGCTCGAAATATCGGGTGAACAGCGAGAAGACGTATATCTGTCATCAATTTCCGTCCCTATTAACATGGTATCAAAATCAGAAAATAATACCTTATTCTCAGGAGTTACCATTTTTTTTTCCATTGGCCGATCAATACAGTAAATTATGGACGAGTGTCCGAAGGCTCCTCGACACTGACAAGTAGATGTCCCCAGGTGTAACACTGGTTTTTTAATAAGATTTAGCACGATGATAGAGCTTGGAATTCTGAAACCAATGATATTTATTTCAGCCACATACAGCTATTAGTTTATGAAATATTTAATGTTCTATACCGTGGAGCCTTCGAACACTCATCGAGGATTTACTATACCTCGTGGATTTTGACCAAGGGTTTCATCAATTTAATTTCACCAAGTTTCATCGGTTACAAATATTATCTTCAGATTTCGAATTGAATATTAACACGTCTCCTGCGTAGACACGGAACATTGCTCCATGAACGTCGCAACGATTGGCACCGTTAATGAAAGTCATTTCTTACCGTCCAAATGAGAAACGCCTCTCGGAGTCGGTCAGACCTTGAGGAACTCATAACCGAGGACGACGCGACGGTTGCAGCAATTACGTAAATTTCTCAACAGCGGAACATTTAAAACTGTTCTCGGCCTCCCACCCCACACACCCCCGGAAGTGGGCCGATCGTTTTATCATTGACACCTGTTCCCACACGTCTCGATCCGTTTTCAAGGAGCTCGGTTACCCTTCTTGCCAATTTCGTCGCGATCATAATGCCCGTCTGTCCTCTCTGTGTGTAGGAAACGCCGCCCGGCGTGTCCGTGATAAAACACTCAAAGTAATACGCCGGTTAATTCGGGCACCGAATGCAAACGGCCCATGGAAGGGGGAGGGGGGGCTGCCGTTAATTGGTCGCGGTACGCTGAGCATTCGACCGGGGAGTCACCTGCAGCATTCGTGGGAAAAGTGCATCAACCAGACCGATCCGATTACACGTCGACTAGAGAGAGCGTTGATAATTAACATATGATCGGTCGAATGATCGATAACACGCGTGTAACCCCTTTCTACGCTTACACACAGCCGCCTTGAATCACGACGTGTGAACAATTTGCACTTGACTTGTTGCGGAATCGATTATCGAGCGATTGGAAGCGCTGACTGTTCAGTGGCAATCGGTTTTTCTACGATAACTTAACTGTCCATGTGCTTTAGACGTTAAAGACCTTATTCGGAGATTCTTTAACCCTTTAACGCCGAGTGCTGCACTGGTGCAACACTCATTTTAAAAGTGCGTTGAAGATAGTAGACGTAAAGTAGATCTGAAAGTCTATATTTACACTGTAGTCCATATTTTTCTTACAAATTTGAATGTTTTTAGTAGTGAATTCAGAATTTAATAACATGACAAAAAACACTACGGGACATAAACCTTTTTTTTTTGAACAAAAAATCATCTACACAGTCTACTAAGTTAAAATGTATAATTAAATCTTTCTTTTTACTCTTAAAAAAAAATTCAAGTCTGAAAGGGTTAAGAAAAGCGTACTACTTATTATTAACGAATACTTAAAGAAATGTATCTTATCGCTATACTGTCCCAAGATTAAAAACTATGGCGTTCAACGTCTTAAGATAATGAAGAATATAGTTTCTCTTTCGTTGAACACAGAGTCCAACCCTGTGGAAGATTTAGCCTGTAGCCGAAGCTTGTTTTTCATCTCCGTGTAATAATCAACAATCTGAACATACGCCAATAATCGTTTTAAATTGAAGACCGCAGTATATACAGAGTTAGTGTATATTCGCAGGTACGGGTACATTTGGCAGAGTGGTCCTCTGCAGGCATCAGGGGACCCCGATGGCCCTGAAGATCCTCTCGATGGTGGACGTGATCAGACTGAAGCAAGTGGAGCACGTGAGAAACGAGATCACGGTCCTGAAGGAAGTCAATCATCCCTTTATCGTGAACATGTACGTACTGACTCGTGCTTTTTCTTCATTCTTGAGAGGGGAGAGGGTTCGACAGAGAATCACGTTTGTTGAAATTCTTGTGGCGAGTGCCGCTGTAGAAAAGAAAAAACGTCGACGTCGCCTTCGAAGCGAGGAAGTGTATCGGCTTTACAGGAGGCCGGTAATTAAGAAAGTTGTGTGTTCGTTTCTCGGTCGAACGAAAGAAATTGTGGAAAAGAAAGCGTAACTGAAAACGACGAGTGAATTGATACTCGCTAACCTCCCATGCACGATTTACGTTTATTACCGGCCAATTAGCGATCGTTGAGACGAGGGAGAAAATCCACAATTGCTGTCTCTTTTGGTTCTTCGAACAGATACGTTTCTTCTGTAGGGACAATGGTCAAGTTTTTAATTCAAGTAAAAGAATTTTAACGATGTTCCAAATAATCGACTGACGGGATTAACAGTCAAATGGAAGAAGTCACTTCGTTTGATGTTCTTAGGTGATCTTTTGTTAACGGTTACACGTTTTCTCTCAGGCTCTGGAGCGGAAGGGACGAGGCAAGGGTGTACATGCTCCTGGAATTCGTGGCCGGTGGCGAGCTGTTCTCTTACCTGAGAGCGGCTGGTCGATTTTCCGGGCCCACCAGCTGTTTCTACGCGGCCGAGATCGTATGCGCCTTGGAATACCTTCACAGCAAGCACATTGTCTACCGTGATCTGAAGCCCGAGAACCTTCTACTGGACAGCCAAGGCCACCTAAAAATCACCGACTTCGGCTTCTCCAAGAAGCTCACCGACAGGTATAACGGATTGCAACACCTTCGATTTAATAATAGACCGTCCCCGTTATCCACGGCGCATTATGAACCCGCCGGAGAATTGTTTCGCTGTTTCACGGTGCAGCCTACGTACGATGACAACGATGAAACGATAAGGTAGATGTATAAACCGCGGGGCATATTTTATTAATCCAGATACCGTTCACCTTGACATTCAGAACGGAATGTACAATCTCTGTGTGCAGATAAGTACGTTTGCTTTTTAAACAGTGTCGTGTCTCCAATCTGTCTCCGATTGTATCAAATGTGAATGCGTCTCATTTCTGGACGAATCGTTCCATCGACACACGCAAGCGCCAACTGTTTAATTATTAGAGGGAGAGAAAGTGTCTCGATGGCTGTGAATGATAAATGTGATCTCCGTTTCACGTGACATTATACAGTGAGAATACTGTTCTCAGTAATTATCGCGTTTGCAGGACGTGGACGTTGTGCGGCACGCCCGAATATTTGGCGCCAGAGATCATTCAGAGCAAAGGGCACAACAAGGCTGTCGATTGGTGGGCGCTCGGGATTCTGATCTACGAGATGCTAGCCGGTTTTCCGCCGTTTTTCGACGACAATCCGTTTGGTATCTACGAGAAGATATTGAGCGGCAGGATAGAGTGGCCGAAACACATGGATCCGATCGCTAAGGATCTGATTAAGAAGCTTTTGGTCGCCGATAGGACGAAAAGATTGGGGAACATGAGGCAGGGCGCTGACGACGTGAAGAGGCATCGTTGGTTCAAGCTGGTCGAGTGGCCATTGGTAATTAATAATGAACTGTTGTTATTGCAACATTATAAATAACTGTTGATAAAGAGCCGGAACAGTCCAGGTTCAGTTTTCATTTCAACGTTTCATACAGTGTTACGTCGATTATCGTCAAGAACTCGTCCCTGCGTCGCGATAAAGATCGATCAGTTGAAGAATTGTTCTTTTGAGGAGGGGAGCAACAAAGTGTGTGCTTTGCAAATTTCATGGCTTCCCCGTCCTCAGTGGTGGGGATGACGTCCTGACAGAAATCGTGTAGAACCAGTCAGACAATGATCGACGAAATACTGTATCGTAAAAACTATTTCTGCTAGGAGGCTGATATTTTGTAGCCGATCTAACAGAGAATTTAAAATATCTTTCCTTTCTAGAGAGTTACATTGTTGTAAGATCATTTATTCATATCGACAGGTACCCCAAAGAGCTCTCACTCCTCCCATAAGACCTCGAGTGAAGGCGCCAGGTGACCCCAGCTGCTTCGACGACTACCCCGAAACCGATTGGCGATCGCAGCCACCTCTGCCGCCGGAACAGCTGGCTCTCTTTCAGGATTTCTGATCACGAACATATTAGTCCATAAATCGTTCGAATACGCGAGGACCCACCCACGCGCAAATTCGGATTCAGACGTTCACGATCCGTTGAAGAGCGCGTTAATGGCGTCGCAAGTCGGTACAAAATAACGGTCAGTCGTCGGTACTAAAATTACTTCTTTTACTTTGTAAATAGTCCTTTTGTATATCGTTCTGTGTTATTTATTTTTACGTTCTATGTAGGATAGACGATATCGTTGTTTTCTTTTTCTAATTGTTACTACGAGCGACACTGTAAATAAAAAAAACAAAAGGAAAGATAACAGATCGAAGGATAGAACAGGGTTCGATTTTCGAAGCAATATAGGATGGAGTTGTTCGAAGACATTTGATACACACGTATGTTCCTTCTAATGTATAAGCGACCGAAATGTGTTAACAGAAATATAATATAATTTTGTAAGACCACACGTGTTAAGATATTGTAACGACGTGTACATGTGATACAGATTGTTGATAATTAAATCGTGCACTTCTTCGTTGTTGTTTTTTTAATATCAAATTATCAATCAATTATTAATAATATCATTGCTTGAAGTTTAGGCCCTAAACTATTTAGTTTAACCGTGGATATGGCGGAAGTTCGATATTCTATTCCATACAAAGTGACGGATAACATCTACTGGCATACCCTGTCGCTGCTTCATGATTAATGTTAATATGAGCAACGAATAATTTATGCTGCAACCGGACACGCGACGCCGTCAGGCTTCGATAAAACGCAACTTTCCGCGCAGAAGGAAAACAGTCCTCGATGAACATCGAAGAAAAGTGAACAACAATGTCCAAAAGATTCGTCGATAAAGACCAGGAAATCGTTTATTTTAATGACACCTATAAAAAATCATTCGGCAAAACGATCCCCATCGTCGACGCCAAGCACATAAATAAAATCGATTCCCGAAAGAAAACTAAACATGTTCCAACCTCTCGGGACGTTCTAAACGATTTTTTGGAGAGCACTTCCATTCACGGTTTACAATACTTCGGTAAAATCGACATAAAAGTCGGAACCTTCGGGAAGATCTTATGGACCTGCACCATGCTCACCGGGTTCTTGTGTACGAAAGGATGGATCTATAGCAGAGTTGGGCAGAATTTTATTCGAATAATACACAGTGAAACGCAACAGTGTCTAAGAGCGTCATCGTGACCTTTAAACAGTTAATAAAATGAAGTAGTTGTTTGCCAAGTGTCCACTCATTCAAAAAGAAGTGTTATTTTATTATAAAAATTATAATTTCCATGTTTAATTAAGTGAAATTTGTGAAGAAATTTTCTTTATCTTTCATTCGTTATCGAAACTTTTTATCCAGATAATGAGTTTGCCCATCTTTGATCTATAGTAAATATAACTGACACAAAAATCGTATAAACCGTTGCTTTTTCAGGTTTAAGCCTGATGGTGATGCAGTTCTTACAACGATACAACGATAATCCGACCAACACATATGTAAGATCATTTTACAATCCGATCTTCAAGGCGCCGTTTCCAGCCGTCACGATTTGCCCATTCTCGCCGATTTCTTTGCAGAGAAGACTGAAGATCGTTGACGGTATTAACATACCTGAAAATATGACCGAGGAGAGTGTACTGAATCTTCTAAAGTATGTATGATAGAATCTATTCTATCGTTCTGATAGAAAATGTTATAACGAGAGACTAATAAGATTCAATTATTGATTGTATTCGATGCAGATACAGTCATCATATAACGCTCCCATTCACGATGAAAAAATACGACGAGATCAAGGAGCTGAAGGCACTTTTGGACGCGAATCAGTGGACCGTGTCGAACTTCCTGAAAATCCTGAAACCCTGCGAGGATGTGACCAATTCGTGTTGGTGGAGCGGCGAACGTATCGATTGCGACCAGTCCATTAAGATCTCCCACACTTCTTACGGGCTCTGTTGCTCCTTTAATTATCTTCTTGAAGAATATGTGGGCCGCGAGAAGCAAGTATCTTTAAGATTATTTGATAATTAAAAAGATCATATTTCTAATATTTGAGTATCTTACACGGACTGCTGAGGAAGAAATATTCAGGAATTAGAAAGTATCTACTTCGTACTTGCATTTAGAGTGCAATGGAAGATCTTTGATCTGCCTGTTGGCTAATTGTTTTTTACGTCTCAATTTAATAAAATTATTTTCTTGATGACATTCAGAAATCAGCCGAAACCGAAGCCCATAAGTTCTGTCGACTTCGGTCGGACGAGCGGTCTAAAGCTCTTAATAAATGAACAGTTATTCCTCGGTGATACAGATGTGGACATCCCTAGAAGGATGGCGCACGGCGACGGTGCATTGGTACGGAAGAACCGTTACATTTAAAATAAATTGTGCTATTATAGTTGTAGAAATTGTACACGAGGAAGTGTTTGTGTCAAATATGTCCAAAAAGCTTTAATGTTCTCTTTGTGTGGCTCTTGAACAGGTGCTTGTACACCATAGCATGGATTTTCCAGGTCTCAACACAAAAGCGTACATTCTGCAGAAAGACCGCCAATTTGAGGTAATAAGCAAATGTCTAATATGGTATTTACAGAGTGCCCCTAAAAGATGGGTCAATCCGGAACATGTATATTCCTCGTGCAAATACAAATCGAAAATTCCTTTACCGTTTTGTAATCTGAAGCTCCATTTCCGAGATATTACCAGTTAAACGAATCGTGATGATTAAACGAATGTACGCGCAGCACAGTCAAGAAGCGCAAGACCCAAGTTACTGACCCCTGCTTCTTCACTGCGTCTGCCCGTACGTGTGGCCCACCGCTCAGCTGATTGGGGTTCATTTAACTGGTAATATCTCTGAAATGGAGCTTCAGATTACAAAACGGTAAAGGACTTTTCGATTTGTATTTGCATGAGGAATATGCATGTTCCAGATTGTCCCATCTTTCTGGAGCACCCTGTATATTAAATTAGAAAGGTAAAGATTTTTTTAATTTAAATTACAATCTAAATTCACAAACACCACGTTCACTTCGAACCACTACATTATCTATTGATGCTTATGAGGATAATGTTAAGACATTGTAAAATGTTATACATAGATCGGTATACAGCCAACAATGATCGAAAAGCCAGTCGGCCTGTATCATCTGAACAAGGAAAAAAAGGTCGTTCCAGTCTGCATTCCGGACAGCGCCAACACTCTGGATTACTTTCCAACCTATCGGTACTCCAACTGCTACGCGAACTGCCGGATCAGACGGATGATTCAGATCTGCGGATGCCTGCCGTTCATCTACGATCACTTGACCGATTACTATCACATCAAAGTAATTATCCCAGTCCCGAGAAGAACATTCTCTCCTCGAGCGAGAACATTAGAATACACAAATGACCGAGACCATTTTTAGCCGTGCGAGATAGACGGTCTGGCCTGCATCCAGGACAACTCGATGGATTTAAGTATCGTCAGTGACATCAACACGGCGAATTTCACCTGCTCCTGTCGAACACCATGCGAGGACGTGAATTACGAAGCCTCTACCAACTCGGTGGTTCTCATGAAAACACAATCGTCAGCGAGTTAGTGAGTGGAAAGTTTCCAAATTTCGATGTTGGGTCGTTACAGTTGGTTCATAATCCATTGGGGAAAGGAGAGTTCGAGTTTATGAATAAGTAGCCTTTAGGGCCCAATATTTTTATTCAAATTCGTTATTAGTAGACTGCGGATTTTTATGGAAAAATTGAATTTTGTAATTTAATTTACAGAAACTGAAGTGATGTAAATCGTAAAGAGAAATCACGTTATATTTCACTAAACTTCTTGGTACACTATGTTTCAAACATTTGTGGACCTTATAAATGCATAAAATCCACAGTCTACAATCCAATGTTGCCGACAATTACAGGATATATGCTTGGTTTCAGTAATAACCAGACCACAGGCAGAGCCATTTTAAAAATCTTCATGCACTCGCAAGTTTTCATGAGCATGGAGACCCTGGCAGCTGCCGACGAGGTGTATCTTTTGGGTAAAAATGATTACTAACGATCGTACTGATTGTACCTTAATTTTCCTCTGTTTTACTTAAACGTTTCAGCGTCGATAGGCGGAATCTTCAGTCTGTTCCTCGGCTGCAGCTTCCTAAGCCTCGTGGAGATTCTTTATTTCATCGTCATATTCGGACGCGCGACATACTCCCGTCGAAAGACCAAAAAGCGCCGAAAGAAAACCAAATGGATAACATAGGATAACCATCTAGATAGGCATCGCAATATTTATTGATCGACAGCCAACAAATATAAACGCTTTACCACCACGAATAGAACAAACGTTCCCTTTCCGTCGGGTTTCCCGCCATTTTTGTTTCTGCACCGCAAATACGCGTGTCGACCTGATTCTTCCTATAACTGATGATAATTGGAGTCGACTAGTAACACGAGTTCTGACAATCTATTGTGTAATCGTGTCGACGTTCACGGCCCTCCAGTATTCCGAAGCAATTAGATCTATTTCGAGCGATTACTGGAGCGCGCCACGGAGAGAGGCGGTTTACATCCGCGCTCGTAAAAATATTTACTACGAGTTTCCGCTTTGAAGTCCCGCCGTCGCTCTTCCATCCGTGTCGAATAAACCTCTAGCAGACCGATTCAGGAACTAAAAGTTTCGAAACACACGGGTTTTAATTGCTAACACGGTGCAACGCACTCTTCTTTGAATTGTGTCGAAACCGGAAGTCGACTCTCGGGCGCCATGATGGACGGCGATTAAGAATTACTATGATCTCGACTTGATTTTTATATCCACAGAAAAGTGGTCGACAGACGATTCGCTGTATCGATTTATTTATAGAGTAGAGAAAAAATATTCAGAGCACACGGAATCGAATAAATCGGTAATACGATCCTCGATGAACGCCAGAGTGGAGATGATTGCGTAACGATTAGGAGAATTTGTTGGTTTCACTTTGCGTATACGAGCGGGCCAATATTCGGATAGTGGTTCGATACTCGTCTATTTTCGGGAACGCTATCGAAAACACCGATTCAGTCCTCCGTATCGACGAATAACGCGGCCGTACACCGACGAAAAGAGCTGGAGGCATCGGTTATTTTCGACCGAACGCCCACGCGTTCGAAACTACGTCCGTGTGTACCCAAAATGTTTCATATCCACGCGAGATCTCGTTTCTTTTTTAACTGCAAAACCTTTGCGTGCCTGCTGGAACATATTTTTTTTTTGAAGTGTTTATGGTAGCTTGACGGGCACCTCCATTACTTTTGTACAAAATGTTTCCCATCGAGTGGTTGAACCCGACTTTTGGTATTTATGGGAACGTCGCGGTTCCCTTTGATCGTCTCATCCTGTTTCTGGTAACAGCTGCATTTCGTAATTCATTTTCATTCATTTATTCAAAATTCAGTCACCTTTTCCGATCAATGGGATCAAAAGTATATATAATAATCGTGTGGACAGCATGTGAATAAGTTTGAGGATTGTCGAGATAATAGATGTTTGAATGGAGTACACCTCTTTTGTTCATTTTCAAGATTTTTTTAATAGAAAAATGTGGAAGTGACGCGGACAGCGTTAGACATGTGGAAGGAGGATCCGCGTAAGATGGTATCCTGAGTGTTTAAGAATGTCTTGCTTTTGACCGTGTTCCTTTTCGTGTTATTTCACTCCTGAAATCAATGAAAATAATTTTATGACAGTAGAAACGTTAATTATATTTATAGTAGAACGACGATAACCGAACTAATAGGGGGACAAATCTGTCCGGGTAAACAGTTTTTCGGACAATCTAGAAGTTTAATATATATCATAAAATCATTAGAATTAAAGCCACTTTCAAAGATGGATATTTATTACGCGGAATATTGCATAATAACACAAATAAATACTTGAACAGAGCACCTAACAATTATTTCTGCAGTTTTGTCATTATCTTCTTCAACAAGAATACATGAAACAAGATCATCTTCGTCTAAAGTTTCATATCTTCCATTATCATTGATATGTGTCAAATCTAGTGTAATAAAATTGTTACTTTCATTTCTGTTAAGAGTAGCAGATGCTACGTTTTCCCGCGCGTCTTCCAAACTAATCCTTTTAAAAAACATTCGTGACTCGGTTCTGTGTTCCCATAATCTAGAACGACCGCAGTTTTCCAAATGATCGGATAATCCACGCTCCACCGTATATCAATAATCGTGTGCTATTGTTATCATGATCTTGCGCGTAAACAACACGGTTCGTCGCAGAGATTTCAACGTCAGAATAACAAACGACGCAGCCGCGGGCCGCCAAAAATACGAGACAATAAAGCGTCAACCGAACGACGAACTCACCATCACGAGGAATGTGTATTCTGAATTTAAAACAGTCCCGAATACAATAACCAGAGGCTGATCAGCAGTAGGATGAGTATGAAGTATGTGGTCAGGATGTTCTTCGTCTCGTGGGCCGGCTGTGGCATTTTTCGGTGTTCACAAGACGTTCACGGCACTGGAGAGACGACATAAACAAAAAAACAATCGTCCATATTTGACCGTATCGAGTAATACAATTTCCCCTCAAAAAACAATCAATTTAACTTTCATAAACAATAAACTACACTACTCACGGAATAATGACAGTAGTCTAACGACTTCCGTTTAATCTCAGTGAACTCGTTTCGCCAAACTGCTTTCGATCAATGTTCAAAAAGAAATCGTATTCGGGGAATGGGACGTATGTATATAATAAAAATCAAGTTAACCGCTGTAAATTACGTCTCGACAATGGATTCCACGAAAGAAGATCGTACAAGAACCGCGCCAGTTTGCGTCCGATCTTCGACTAGATCACTCAACGCAGGATCCGCGATAATCCCGAATATTCCTCCAGGAACACCCCCAGTTCGATCACCCCCCACCCAAACACCGTGTTGAGCACACCACGGTTGCACCTTCCCTTGTAACTTCTGCTCCAGGATTGGTAGCCCCTGTCCCACCACCGTTCGACGATGCGAAACCAACGTGTTCCCGCCACCTCGGGTTATATTAAGCTGCCCGAGTGAAGAATCGGATACAGCTTCGGGTGGAAAAATGCTCCACGGATCGATTCGCGATCCGTTGGTGTCGAAACTCGCGGTCGCGGGTTCAAGGTCAGCCGAGTGGTAGCAATCTTCACGGTAAACATTCGATGACGTACGGACGCTCTGATCTCTGGATACAGATTTTCTCGAGATTTTTCCGTGGAAAATGACGCATCGTTTTCGAGAGACAGCTCCAAGAAATCGCCACGGTAGGTGCTGTCTAATTTGAGAAACACAGAAATCTGTTGTTACGATCTTTATGTAGCTATTGGGGAGTTCTGATGTTTTTCATTGAATGTATTTCGGTTCATATGTGCAAAAAAGTTGCCTCCTATACGATCTTAAAAATGTACCCCCACTGCAAGGCGTGAGGTACTAAAAATTATTGTGACTTAAAAGAGGCAAATGTTGCAGCAGTAATATTTTGAAAAGTTTGAGATCAATAAGTTAAAGCATTAAAAAGTTACAAAAATTCATATTTTGGAAAATAGAAATGTCGATATCTAGAAACCCCTAAGTTTTACAGATTTATCGCAGTTATTTTGTTCGCCATTTTGCAAAATTTGTAGCCGAAGTGCCGATATAAACTGACCATTCTCCTTTTCACCATTTAGGCAGATATTTTAAACACAGTTGGTGAAGTGTCACCGATCTTCAAAGAAATACGATCAAACTTACAGTAACTTAAATTTAATTGTATTCATAGAATGACAAAGCAAAAACCATTAAGCTCCACCAACATGCCTAATACCGGACTTACAATGACTCGCCGTATTCATTCATACACTTTCCAAATTACAACAAAATATACAAATTTTTTATGCAATTTTACATTTATGTATCCTCATGATATTTACTTTTATCGTGCTTGCGTGATAAATTCTTCGTAATCTTGAAATAAGATTTGCAGGTATGTGGTACGTAATGTGACCGACTTCCGTGAACGTGTTTGTGAGTCATTGTATAATAGGAAGACTTATTAGAGACTAATCGAGAATGCAAAGCGTGTGTTTACGTGGAAGGGCCTAATTTAATTATAAAGTGACACGCAGGGAACGGTCGATGTCACCGTCGAGGGGGCCGACAGGAATCGGCTTTTATTTTTAAACGAAAGATGCTCCTGATCACGCCCACGAGCTTGGATTCCCGGACAGAATTCACGTGCGGCGCCACGATATTTTACACGTGACCAAATATAACGAAAATATCGGATTCGAGTCTCGGAAAACAGTGATGATTTAACACAGGAACACTCAGGCCGCTTTGTCCACGATCTAGAAACAATATTTTTTCGTGAATACGATCACATTCGGTTAGACGGTTTACGGTGTGCTTAATAAAACGAAGACGACGAATCGAACACGCTCGAAAATCCTTCGATTTGATTGATGGCACAGGCTATTTCTGGTACGCGAAACACACTCGGTGAAGTTCCTGAACGTTTGATTAGGCCGTGATATCGTTGCTCTCCTCTTCAACTAATGCGCACCAACGTCGTCCATCATTTCCAGGGTTTCGTCTAATTTTATCATGTAAACCAACCATCAGCCTCGATGGACAATATACGGTCGTGTTACGTAACGCGTTTCAATGATGGCGCTCGGCTTCGAAGCTCGTAAAATAAATCATTCTAAATGCGTGGATGTTAATGAGGCGTCGATTGAAATGAAACATAAAGCGGAGGTTGTATAAAATGATTTTCTTTTTTATTACATTCGCAACAGGATCACACAGCTACATCGGATAAAAAGAAAAAGAAGGTAAAGGACACACTCTTGGTAACTTATGTTAACTACACACGGAGTATGGGGTCTCGATCAAAGACCGTCGGAGGAATGCAAGATCAAAGGTCTTGTATGCACATACACATGCATACGTGTTGCTTGTATATAGGTACGGGAATATGGCGAGTAAACGAGACCAACGTGACTGATGAGACGTCCGATTATAAATTATAAATAAGGTCGTTATATGTACATACATATTAAACAACCGGAGATCTCGGAAACCTTGCCGAAGATCTGGAGGATCGACACTTCCGCTGGCACCGAACGAATACGTCGTACACGCAGACACGTTCTTTTATTATAATATCGTTAAATTCTTGGCACAGAGACCGCCCACGTTTTAAAAATACGAAAGCAGCGAGACAAACGGGGAAAACGCTTAATGGAATGCGTTATGTATCCGCCTCGACTAGCGACCTTTACGAAATTTAACGCACACACACGTTCACTTTAATCTACGGTTGTTCGTAATGACTGAGACGGTTAATTAATATATTTATATCTATAAGTACGATTAGAGAGACCCGTTTAAATGAAATACACCAAGAGCACACCGGTTGCGTGAATCTGGAATGGTATTTGCGCAACTACACGATGTTAAATGTCGCTGCTGCGTAGACACACTTAACTCTACTTCCCCCTGTTACATTATATACACAATGATTCTAATTGTTATCGTATCCATTAGCACCTCGAAGCGTATGTTTCTCAGAAATTCCACGAATGATCGTGTCACGCGACAGAAAATCCAAGAACGTCCTCCAGCGAATAGTCGAACAGTCTTAGGTCTAGTTTGTACAGATCCACCAACTTTCGTAGTTGCTTGTACGTCAACGTGGAGTAGTATTTCTCCAGCTTCTTTGATGTTGGCTCGCTGTTAGTTGGCTTGGCGGGAAAACTGTGAAGAAAGATACATTATAAGTAAGGCATAATTATATATTTTATATAGTATATATCTTAGGCATAAATTATAATACATTATAAATTAAAGATAAATAAAAAAGGCACTTGCCCTCCCCCCCTGGACGGAAAATAGTGGCTTTTGCTCCACCCTACAAGAAAAAAATTGGATTTTGCCTCCCCCTTCCTTCCCAGAGTTACAAAATTTTTGGATAATATTTAATATTGCAGTATAATTTGGAACACGATCAACAGCCTTTATTAACAAAACGCATACATTTTCAACGACTTGTGACTTAAAAAACAAAATAAAATGTGTCTGACTACGTACGGCCATTTTCACTGTGGCAGTCGATGTCTTTATTAATTTCTATAACTTTAACTCATCAAAAGTAAATATATCAAATAATATCGATAAAAGTTGAATGAAAAGGTATACAGACTCCTCTCGATTATCGTCTGGTTTGTTCTACACGATTATTCTCCAAACATTATCCCCACCACTGGGGGAAGGCCGTGGAACCTGTCAAGCGCATACTTTGTTGCCCCTCTGCTTTTGTTGCCGAGGCTCGGGCTTCGGGCAAAAATCGAATTTACGAGGGTCCAAAACATTTCTCCCTATAATATTAATGTCCTAGCGCAGACCTGAATTCGGAAAGATAATCAAAAGGAGTCTGTACGTAAAATATCCATATACAAAAAGAACAAGTTTTAGCTGCTAATTTCTATTATGCTTTTATGAGTTTAGACGAATACCGGTCATGTAAAATAAAAAAACATGTTAGTAAGACGATGTAGGCGTTTGATTTAAATTACTTTTAGTTTAAGAGTGCGAGAAATTGCGAACTCGAGTTCTAAAGAAAAATTAACGACAGGAGAGTCTGTTACTATTCTGAAATTAACCAAAGCAGGCTACATTCAGTTTAATAAATAGCAACAGAAAGAATAGTATTATTAATAATAGTATGTGTATATAGAGACATAAAAGGGAAACCTTGTTTAGAAAGCAGTACATAGTAACATATTTTCAAAACTCACTTGACCGACTCGACCCCCATCCGCTCCAGTACCTCGGTCGCGTCCTCCACCAAACTTTCATACTTGCTAACGAGGTTGTAATTAACTAAGCATGGCTGACACAGCTCGTAGATCGGCTTCCAGTGCTCGTTTCGCGTTTCGTTCGAGGAATCGTCCGTGACGAACTCGACGAACTCACGGAACGTCACGTCGTCGCCATTCCTCAACGACTGCTCGGTAGCGTTTTGCCTGTACCTCTGAACAAACGGAATAGTTCCTTCGATTTAACCCTTTACCTCCTAGATCCATAAATCGTTACTTAAATATTATGAGACTGATATATGTTGTAGGTACTATGTTATTTTCCAAGTCGAAAACATCGATATTAAAAAGACCGGATTTTCTTTCATTTTTTTCTCTTTTTATTTATTTTTGCAAGGAATACTTGAACTTCTCCACTGAAACTCCACTGTGGAGATCTACTTCACATTAGTAAAACTACGTATTCGTGTTTAGGGATAAATCGATACCGTCAAGGTATCGGTACTTTTACTCATAACATTGATATCTACTTAGTATCGCATCACAAGTATCGATACCTACTTGTATCGAAATAAACTGAATACAAAGTTCTTCTTTTTTTTAGTAATATAATATATTTTAACACGTTCCGTGCCACATGTACCACCGGTAGTACACGCAGTCTGAATGGAATACAGTACACGTGCCACGGAACGTGTTACTGTCGAACTGTAATTTAAAACAAGACCAACAGCCTCGATTAACAAAAGACACACATCTTCGGTAATTTATGCCTTGGAGAACGAAATAAGGAGTGTCTGGTTACGTACGGCCTTTTTCACTGTGGCACAGAACGTGTTAACCAGAGTTGAGCAGAAATTCATTCGAATAATACACGGTGAAAAGCTGCAGTATCTAAAGGCGTCATCCTGAGCTTTAAACAGTTAATGAGATTAAATAATTATTTGACACATGTCGACTCATTCAGGGGGAAGTATTATTTTGTTACAAAAATTCGAATTTCCATGTTTGAACGATTGAAAATGACGAAGTACTTTTTGTATCTCCTTATCTAGATAATGAATTCGCCGATCTCTAGTTTTAACGAAGATATATTTTATGAATGAACATTTATTATCGAGGATATATTTTATTAACGAACATTTAACAAAGTAATACAACTGAACGACAACCACCTTCGCATTCATTAGCTTTCATATTAATTACTCGCTCCATTCTAAATTAGTACTTTTTTTCGATACCGAGTATACATATATCACAACTGAAAGTATCGATACCAAAAATACTCCATAGATTTAGTATTTCCATAGATCAGTTCATTCCTATCCGTGCTGACAAAAGTTAGATATTAACCGACGACAAGAACACCCATGGTGTTTCACCGATGCAACACCGGTCGTTAAAGGATTAACACTTATACGGTAAATTTACATAAAAACCCAAAGTATAAACGAACGAAAAGGATGACCCACTAACCTTGATAATCTTCTTCCCGAAACGTGTCTGAAAGTAGATCGAGCTCTTCTCGTGTTTCGCCTCCAGCTTGTTCCTGTACGCTGACAGCAACCTCTCCAACGGATGTCTGACCACTATCAGCTTGTCGTACGAGGCCAACATTCGTGCGATTTCGGGCGTGGTGTAGTTGCTCAACCGTTGAAAAGTGCCCTGAGAGTGGGCCTGATCGGCCGGTATCTCCATGGGATCGTTACCCGGCCATTTCCCGGTCGCCACCATCAGGACCCGTTTCCAATTCGTGCAGGCGACCTGACGAACGAGATCCCCCCGTCTCGAATAATTTATGATAAAGACATACCAATCGAGAAAGGATTAACATGGTTACCCAGTAACGAACTCCCAAGGCTTCGAAAGGCGCGGCGATATCTGATTTCCATTTAAAAACACGAGTGGTTGCAAAACCGATTGCTACATTATCGGTTCCACAGTCGTGGGGTATACACGGGGGTACAGTAATGGTGGATTGCCGTGCGTTCAACTGACACTCAAGGACTTATCAAATTTTCTGGCGTGTATATGTGAGAACCTGTGCAACTGTGACCTGTGTGGGTGACGTTAACTATAATTTAATAAACCAGTCTCACCGCTGCGTATGCAACAGGAAGTCGAAAAGTCTGGAATTACGTTTTTTCGAATTCATGGCATTGTTTCGATCGAAACTACACGGTGGAACAACAAATTGCTACGTGTGTATTCAAATACAGTCACGATATGCAGTTTGCGTGCAATACTTAAAGGAAAATTATATTCCCCGGAAACGAATGGTTTCATTAAAAAATACTTGTGCCGATGACTCGATGTATAGTTTGGAATACCGACGAAAAATTGAGGAGCACCGTTCAGGCGAGTTTAAAATCAGTAAAATTGTATCTTCGAATCACAACTGATTTCGCACAAATTACAAATACATTTCAATTTTATCAGAGTCTGTATCGTTGACATCAAAAGATTATCATGGAATGACCATACAACTTTTATAGAACGGGCATTACCGACACCACCGAAAACCTGATATCATCGATCAACAATTAACTCTCGTCGCGAGTCAAAAGAATCGACTTCTGAACTTTCTGAGCAGTAAAACAAGGTTAACTTTAATCGTGTCAATTGTTCTACAGTTCCCACCCAACTCACCAATTATATGATTCGTCAGAGAACCGTAACACACACGCGGTTCCGCCCATTTCGTTTCGTTACATGCATACCTTGGGAACGTAGCAGTAAAGAAGTTCGTGTTGCTCGTCCACGAGGATATTCCTGAATATCTCCGGATTCGTGACTTCATTGCCAGTGTCCACGTCGCCGAGAATCTCCTCGCAGTTGTACTGTAATCTTTCCTGTCGTTCGAGCAACGCCGATCTCGCCAACGCGTTCGGCCCCGTCCAAGAATACATGAAATTCTCCGTACCGAACCATTTCTTCTCATCGTTCGTCAAGGTACGATCTCCGACCGTGATCGCGCGAACAGTGCTGATCGAAACGATGAGGATTAACAGAACTGTCCCCCAAGCACGGCATCCTGTCATCGTCCTTCACGTCCACCCGGGACATTGAATTATTTTCTTGTATGGAGGTTGCAGTTACTTAGGAATTCTATCTGAGGGATCACACACACAGAACTGAATTAAAAGAATTATTGTTTGATAGCAAATAATAAGTGCACTACTGTTCGTAAGTGGTAGGACAAGTCTGTAGAAAGACAATGTGATATTTTGCAAAAATTATAATATTACAAGCCACTGTTACTGTAATATAGTAAATTCTCGATGAGTGTTTGAAGGTTCCTCAGCATCGAACATTAAATATTTCATAAACTAATGGACACATACGGATGAAACAAGTATTATTAGCTTCAGAATTCCGAGCTCTATTACTGTGATAAACGTCATTAATACTAGATCTACCAGCATTGAATGTATGCTAGGTTAAATTGTGTAATATATTAACATGTATTATATATAATACAGTATAGATTGTTATACTGTAATATGAAGTGTATAAGAAATTAGAGGTTAACTTAAATTCCGATCAAGGTTCCTAGGATTTCAATAATTGTAAAATAAAAAATCTGCACATATTCAATAAATGTCCTAACACTTATGAGCACGAGTGTAGCTTTTATTGTGAGAAAATGTGTTTCTAGTGTCAAAGGAAAAATCTAACTAGTTGGATGGTTATCGATTATCCAACGAATACGATATTTTTCCATTCAGTATTTCTTTTTCTGTTTTCCATTCTTTTCTACTTCATAAACGTCGAACAAAAAACAGAAACTCTATTCCACAATAAATTGATCCATTAAGTCAAGTATATGTAAATAATCTAATGACACTACGTTACAGCATTTATGGTATCGTCTTTCGTGCATTATTTATTAATTCCTGCTAATTGCTAAGCGTTTCTGTTCGTGTTTTACATTTGCAACACATTAACGGAGATTCGCGAATCGATTTTCAACGACGAAGAAATACGAGTAACCGACGGAGGTCTTTCAATTAAACGTTTATTAGTATCAATTCGCTCCAGTGGTTACGTATTTGAGTAGGCACGAATTTCCGAGTTAGCCGGGGAAAAACAACTTGGATCAATTCGTAGAGATCGAACGCCCAGTGTAAACTGTTGAATGAAATTGATCGAAGTGGACGTTTTTCATTGGAAAGACGACAGAAGAATCGGACGAACGATCACGCCCCGATCCGTTCCAATTGACGGCCATTAAAGCCGGTTCTGGATCGGCGGTGTACGGTACGTTTCGTATCTGGATATGTAGAACAGACTTTTCTTTTAATAAGACGCTCCGTGGACGTCTGATTCCCGTCGATTTTGGGTCAAACAACTCGACGGATGAAAAGATCGGTATACTCGTTTCGTGGAATACACTGACGCCGACGCACGAAAAACTTGAAAACTTCCTCTATGCGTACATATACCGTTCGGCTGGTTACATAATTTTATTTTTGAATATACAAAGATTCTATCGAAGCAGAAAATCTTATCACCGAGTGAACCGTGATAACGGTATCACAATACACGTTGCGAAACTGATAACTCTGTATTCGAATCGTTACCTACTGGAGTAATCCGTGTTTCTATTATATTAGTCGACTGATCTGTGCCGGCGGGAAATCAGCACACGAACATTACGTTTTGCAATAACGACGATTATCTCGACTTCACTATTGCACAATGTCGAATTATACAACGTAGAACAGAGTGAAGCAATAAAAACACTTTGTAAGGCTTCTTTTTAGTGAAACATAAATTTCTAGTGCATAGACGATTTTTGTCCGTGTCGTTATAAAATTATTCAGTGAAACGAGGTATTGCAAAATATACAATGTCAATAGTATTACAACACAATTTCCCAGAAAGCAATAACACCGAACAATCCAACAGTCGAATTCGTACGAAAACCGCGTGTGACATTGGAAACCACCGTTGAATTCGATCCACGGATCGCACGATCGATCACGGAACCTTACGCTCTGCTCGACCTTGCGCAAACGTTAATGAATGAACAACAAAGACACACATCAACGTGACCCATTGGCGTTTCTCCAAAGACTAAAGACAGATTAACCGGTAACCTTCCGACCGAAGTAACCTCTCTGCTCATCCAGTATCAGTACTGGTTCCGATACGGTGCTGGAAATGCTACGTATGCCAAAAATAGGTGTTAAAAATGCAACACACGTCGATAAAATTATCGCCACTAAATCACGATACGTCGCCGATCGAATCTCTTAACCGTCGCGTAACACCCTTGAATTCGTCGGCCAATTAATCACCCTCCCCTCTACTTCTGAAATTTCATTACGATGGACGATAAAAAGAGATGTTATCGATATCCACGACAGTCGATTCGAATCACGATCCAAAGTCATCGAATACGGCGCCCTGGTCGTCGTATGATTTATCCAACCAGAGGACAGCCGTGTCCCCGCCTGTTTCCCCGTGTCGTCTAGACAGAACTCACCTGTTGCGGATGGGAAACGTCGAGGACCACGCACATGTCAGCCGAAATCTACGTGGCATAACTTCGCACCGCGATCAGACCTTCGGATCAGCCATTATCGGAGGCCTATGACGCTGACCGAACAAAATTCCTGAGTGTCTATTCTCTCGAAACCTCTCGATAAGGTGGGTCTTCGGTTCTGGAATTAGCTAGACCAGTGGAGCGACCTCGTTCGATGATACGTTCTCGATCAGAACACACGTCGATTCCACACTGAAAAGGAATACGGTCTGCCGGCGACACGGAAAATCACACTCCATCGCACGCACTGATTTCGAAGTCGGACACGCACTCACGCACGCTGCGAATACCCCTTTGGAACAGAGCGTGCCCGAACGTACAGCCGGCTATTGCCTTGTCCCGGGGACCTTCTGACATAAGAATGGAACGTGGTGCCCGGTAGAGTTTGTGGAAGTGAAAGAAGCTGCGCGCGCGCCTCTGACATTTCGTGTTCGTTCCTACGAAGGGGAACATCGTCGATCTTTCTTCTTCACCTGTTCCCGCTCGCGCGAGCCAGCCACTCTCCGATCCGGCAGGAAATTCAAACGATCGCAGCACAGGCCTGTAAAACGCCGCGTCGTACGGGCACGGGAGCCGGAGAACTCGGTTTTCTTCACGTTTCTTGACCCCCTGGATTTCCTGTGGAAACATTCTCGAATATCCGATTAGAGGAAAAATTCCCAGGAGGAAAGTTTCAATCGTGTTCCGAAGGGCGACGAGAAATAACCGATCAGGTATGGTGTGCAGTATATGGTATAACAAGAAATTTTATTCATAAAATTCTATAGTTGCATGAACATCTGCAGTCTAGTTATAACGAAAATTCATTTTCGTGATTCTTGAATAGATGACGCTGTGAAAAAAATTCTTTGGTAGCATCGATCATTTTCTTCTACTCGCGAGCTTAGAATAGAATTTAAGCTTTTAGATTATGTTTTTTGTGGGGTAAAGATGGGTTAGGACGTGGAAGAACGGTGAAATATGATTTTTAAATTAACTTGCCTACTGATAAATTGTGTAGCTGTTTGTGAATCACCTGTAGGTTAAAATTAAATCAATTTGTCATTAGGCAGTATTTATAACGAAATCACTGTCATGATTCTTGAACAGATACGTCGGTGAAAATAGTTATTCAGTGGTATCAATAATTTTATTCCTTTTGTCAGCTTACAATATAATTTAAACAATATTTTTTGTCTGGTAAGAATCGCTTAGAATATGGGAGAGACCAGTGAAAAATGATCAGCCTCTCGATAAATTGTGTAGCTATTAGAATTAGTGATCGCCTGCAAGTTAAACGTATATTAATTTATCGTGGTAACAGTACAGAAGTCAAAAGTCCTGATCAATGCTTCTAATTAAGTTCTGTTTACATTCGCTGTATCGTGTTGTACTCATATCAGACATTATGTCATGAACTTGTGACTGTACGAATTGACTTGTTACGAACATATTTCTGCCAGTTTCTGCATATTTATTAATATTTTCATAAAGAACGTAAGTACCATATATTTTGTTAATAAAATTTATTCCAGTTTAAAAATTTTGTATTCGATGAAAATTTATTAATAAACGAAATTCTAAAAAGTTTTTGCTGAAATCGGCAACTGTACGAATATTTTTTAGACTCACCACATATTTATAGGTGATTACCCGTCATAACAACTATAGGTATTATTCATACAGCGCATATGCATAAACCGCCTAACGATCAAATTTTGCATATTTTTTCAAGAAGGAAAACGATTATCAACGTTGTAACATTACTTGTATGGTTCCGTTCTATAAATTCTCTACTCACCTGGGTTGTAAAATTCCTTCTCGTTTTTTTTTGTACCCGGCATTTAAAGGTTGAACACACCAATCCGTTCAGATAATCGATCACTCAGCCTCGTGCCGCAAAAGTGTCACTTTAAACTGGTAATTTTTTACAGACATTCTTGAATAAATTACAGAAGAATCCTCCACATGAAATGTATTATCAACATTTCAGCTATCCCGAGATATTTGACAAAATATGTTTTTTTCCTACCGCAATATTCAGGACCATTTTCACCCCCTGCACCCCAATAAAAAACATGAATATCAACCGATAAAAGAAAAAATACTAATATTGTTCAATACCATCGTGTAAAATGCTTCGTGTAAATTTATGGAAAATCACAGTGAGTATCGATAGGGTGGTTGATCCCGCGAGTGAAATCTTGTCAGCGGAGTGGTCAGTGAAACACGTTTCATAAAACGACTTGCTCACGACTATTTAGCTGTGAAGCGTGGACGGGTAGGTCGTCAAAAGACTTATTTAGCCTTTTTGCACCGCTCATACGCGGTGTTTAAAGGCCCCTCATCCGAATCGTAGTCTCACTGCTCTCGCCTGGCAGCCAGAGAAAGTGCCTTACCTTCGATCACCATTTCAGCCGTCCACTTACCGTGCATAGCTTTAGTCTGACGTTGGCCTTCGTTGCCCAACCATCCTCCGAAAACAAACAACTTTGTCTAGTAATAGTCGAGCGATAAGAAAGCCACGTGAATAGTAGGCTAGAGTGACAACTGGTTAATCTCTAGTCATGTCATATCGCGACGAAACGCAACCTTGATCATTGGAACCGCGTGATTCCTCTATTTCCGCGAGTGATAGCGAGATTTTCCAAGAACGTAGGTCACAGTACGCTTTTGTGGATCTATCGATATATATACATAACTAAATACCGAATAGAATTCTGGCATCGGTACGTCGGAAATTCAATGTTTCTTTCCTGTAACTGACAATGATGATTTCAGTACCATAGAAATTATTCGAGGATCAAATGTGTACCTAACGATCGTCAATCACTTAAGCGTTCCTCTTAATTGTATTTGCGATCTATCGAACACGTGGAATATACAAACATGCATTAATAATGTTCGTTCTTTCAATTTTCCTTATTCGCAAGTAGGTACATAATACCAGCCCCGTGATCTCTTGGTACAACGTCTGTGTAAAATGCATCTGCGATATTTGTCGAAAGAAGCGTCGATTATCTCGTTCTTTCAACTTGTAATTCCGTATTTAGATGGAGAAAATTGGATGATGTTTTTGTTCGAAGGAAAATGATGCCGCTAACGCTGTGGTTGTTGGTCGGCTTTCTCGTTCTTTGGATGCTGATCATCTATGTCAGCAGAGTCGTTGCCACACTGTGGGAAATTCTGATGCCGCTCATCGACTCGAAACCCATCGATTTCAGGGCTAAGTTCGGCGAATGGGCCGGTGAGTAAACGACGGTGACTTTCTATATAGTTTAATATTTACCCAGGACGAATTCAGTTCCGTGACAAGCGTGTCGATGAAATTTTCAGTTGTAACGGGGTCCACCGACGGCATCGGCAAGGCATATGCGAAAGAATTAGCCGCCAGAAATATGAATCTGGTGTTGATCAGTCGCACCTTGGAGAAGCTGGAGAACACCAGGGACGAGATCCTAGAAGAACATCCGACGATCGAAGTGAAAATCATCGTGGCTGACTTCAGTAAAGGGAAA